ACATACCCACAAGTATATATTTTTTTAAATTCTTACCTTATGCTTCGGACAAGAGGTAACGATTTGTTTTTACATTTCCCTAATAAATCATTTTCATCACAAGTTATCTACCATCGCCTGAGTAAGTGCCATCATAGTATTGAAACATGAAATCTTTTGTGTAGTGATGTACTTTTTAATGAATAAATAAAAACAGTGCATCTATACAAATATGAGTATCCATTAAAAATAACGTTTAAACAAATACATTAAAAATATGTCAGATTTAATCAATTCCTAAATATATATAATTTTTTATTTATTTGCTCATAAACAGCCTTTTTCACGCTTAGCGATTTTTCAAAATGGGTACCTGTATATCTTAACGCTCCTATATCGATTGCCCTTCGTACATTTTTCAAACAGAATGCGTCAGCGTGCCGACTATTCGAAATAATCGAATTCTTTTTGTTTATTAAATTATCCACTTTCTTCCATTTTATAATTTGAGGTTTCTTCTCCATGCACAGATTGAAATTTCTGTCTCCGTTTCTCGTAATAATTTTCTTTTTTATTATTTTATATCATTAGACTATGAGTTTATTCTCCTTCATTTTTAGTTCCCATATTTATTTTGGCATTTTTGTTACCTTTTTAAAAAAAATATATATTGTGTACTTGAATAATATCATATGGTTGTTATATATTTCTTTCCCAGTAAATTATGTCAATCTATCCTCTTCATTTTTTAAAATCATAAAAAGAAAATTCGAATTCAGGGGCGTTTAAAATAATCAGGAAGGCATTTTGAGAAATAGCTCAGCGTGGAAATGTTAATTGTATGCAAATTTAAAAGTTTGTATGAAGTATTTAAAACAGAGTACTTTTTTACAGATATATATATATATATATATATATATATATATATATATATATATAAAAAAAGGCAGGATGTGTGTGTTGGTGACGAATGCACGGCCACAATTTTCGACATTTGCACCAAAATTTACATGCACATGCTCCAAGTTAGCAGGAAGGCCAAGACCGACTTTGCATTTCCCAACTCCTATCGATAGTGGAAATAATCGATTTTTTATGCTTCTACGGCAGTTTTCATGTAGTTTGCGGCCATTTTCTACTGGCCAGGATGAGAGCCAATAGCTGGCTGCCACGAATAGGCAGGAAGATTCTGTTTGCCAGCGTGAGAGCCAACAGCTCACTGACACGGATGTTAACTAGCATGCTAGCATGCAAAAAATCGATAGGTGCATTCGTTACAAGTGAGAAAAATTTAAATCTGCATGGCACTTTACTCCAATTGGCTCATTCGTTTGCTTAAACTCAACGTTGATTCTGATTCCGCAGAACTAGGTATTTGTTGTTAACATTCTTTGTTTCATTCGGTTTTTCCATTTATGAGTCCTTTTTTTTAAAGCTGATCATTTTGTGTTCATTTTGTTTAGTTCTTTTTTCGTAACAGATTTAATGTTTAGTATAGAGCACAGAAAAAATTCGCAGTGTGAGATAGGCAAGAAGTAAGGCATGTAGCAATATCAGCACGGCTAACGGCACTCCTTTAAAGGTAAGGAAGGGCAAAAATATTTTAAGTCAAGTGATAGCGATTGCTGTATGAGTCGTACGATTTTTGAATCAAGCACGGGCAACGCCAGGCCATGCTGCTAATTTAATCATAAAATGTCTTTTTTCCTTTTTGTCATAATAAAATTTCTAATAAAAATCATGTTTCACTCTTTTAACCATGTATAATAATTTTCTTTTATTTAAAGTAAAATCAACTACTTTTAGGGCCAATTTAAATAATTACCATAGGTTTCCTCAAACCTTTATATATATATATATATATATATATATATATATATATATATATATATAAAAGGTTTGAGGAAACCTATGGTAATTATTTAAATTGGCCCCAAAAGTAGTTGATATATATATATATATATATATATATATATATATATATATATATAAAAGTAAAAATTGAAGTCAGCACTCAGAGGCGACAGGCTGTTTAATGCTGGACGCAATCTGACGGCCTGACGATTGCGTCCAGTATTAAAAAGCCTGTCGCCTCTGGAGTGTTGACTTCAATGTTCACTTTTATATTTATATTTACATACGCTCTATCTCTGATATTGAGCACTTTATCCCATAAATATAGCACACCTTAAAACTATATTTCGTCATATATATATATATATATATATATATATATATATATGTATTTGAAAAATTATAACATAAGCATGTTATAACATCACTACAAAAATAACCATTTTGTTTCAACACTTCTGGTGTCTTATCAAGTGATGGTGTTGATTGCGAAATAAAGAGTTCTTTTGAAAATTCAAAACCAAATCCACCCACCTCAATAGGGTAAACCTTGTTACGTAACCTATGACGACTAACCAGAATACAAGTAAATGAAAATTCAAAAAAACGTGATTGTGTATTCTAAATACAAACCGTTAGTTGATTAAAGTTAACGTTAGATTAAACTAGAAAACAATAGGAAATAACTAAGTTTTAATTTCACGGTAAAATTAGAAATTACAATTTTCAAATTCTAAATTAAAACGAGCATTAGATTTAAAATATTACAAAGTTATACAAAAATGGAACGGAGAAAAAGAATATATATATATATATATATATATATATATATTCTTAGCTAAATGCCAACTTATCCTATAAATTCGATGTGAAAAGTAGCAATAAACATTACAAACCTAAGGCACATGTGCATTAGAAAATGCAGACGACATCACAAACACATTCGTACCCTAATACACAGATACATAAATATGACTAAACATATATTCACGCAAATAAGAGAACGACACAAGAAATAGAAGAAGAAAACGTAAGAAAGAAAAGAAAAGAAAAACAAAAAGGGGAAAAGCAAAAAAGAAAAAATTCAAAAAGGAAAACAATATATATATATATATATATATATATATATATATATATATATCTATATTCTAGAACCTTTTAAAACCTTTATTCTACAAACTGCATTCTACATCATCACTTGATAAGACACCAGAGGTGTTGAAACAAAACATTTATGTTTAAATTTTAAATATTTAATTATATATATATATATATATATATATATATATATATATATATATATATATATATCAAAATGTGTTGCAGTTTAATTTATATATACAGCTTATAATTTTTAAAAAAAGGATCATAACATTTGTCGAGTGATTTGTAGGTTAATGCATTTTTAAAATTTTGTTAGCGCCATTTTATATATTTAACTTTATTAATCTACTTTTTGTATGAATGATTCATTGTAATATATATATATATATATATATATATATATATATATATATAAATATATATATAAAAGACGATTTGCGTCTAGCATGAAACAGACTGTCGCCACTGACTGTTAACTTCAATGTTCACTTTTATATTTACATACCCTCTATCTCTGATATTGAGCACTTTATCCCATAAATATAGCACACCTTAAAACTCTCTCTATATATATATATATATATATATATATATATATATATATATATATATATATATATAATATAAAAATCAGAGGGATATAGATATAATAAAACTGAAAATGGAATATATTGCCGAAAAAGAAAAGTTAAGTCCAATGAACGGTGCAAATTAAGGTTGTGCTTTGTACCTTTTCATATTAATTGTTCTGAAGAGCTCTCCCCTTTGGTTTCGAGATTTTATGAATTTAAGCATACTACTAGATTGGTTTCAAGGTCTCGTCATCATACAGTTGAAATGGCCAGACGTAACCATAAGTTCTATGCTAGTAGTTTCTTCTATCGCACTTCTCGCTTGTGGAACTCCAGCTTCAACTACAATCTTCAAAAATTTAAAAGCAATGTCAATCGTTATCTCCTCTCATCCGAATTCCGCTTCTTTTATTGTCCTCTCTCTTTAATAACTTTTTCCTTTTTCTCATATTCTTCCGCGTTCAATAAACCCTTGTGTCTTAGTGGCTTTATTGCCTTGCTTGGGGTGAAATGATAAAAAAACCACGTTTTATGTAAAGGCTGTGTATCCAAACGACCACAATCTGGCACCGTGTTTAAAATGGGATTCTCATGCGTAAATTATATTATTAACGAAATTGTTCAGGCTCCTTTGGGACGCCTCGGGTAGCAGGGATTGATCACGACCCCACCTTACTAAAGAAACACAAGGGGTGCTGCCTGGGGGGTAGGGTTCTTTGTAACTGAGAATATTTTACTTATTTTTCTAAAGATTTTGGCATGACAGATTTTCTGATAATATTATTTTGTTTTTGAAAAAACGAGAGAGAAATTAATGAGGCCTGTATTTTATTTTTTGCGAAATTTGTCATACTTGAAGATGTTGAGATTTCAAACACTTGGAAGCAAAGTATGAATCCAATGTCAGAATGACAAATACGAGAAGTATTACAATTTTAACTCGCGATGGCACCCCAGCTATCACCTTTCTTTCTTTCTTTCTTTCTTTCTTTCTTTCTTTCTTTCTTTCTCCTAACACGCATTTATCTTTATCTTTTTATGAATCGGTTCTATATTAGCATTTCACAATCTCTCATTTAAACGTTCCCATTTTTTTCTATCTATCTATCTATCTATCTATCTATCTATCTATCTATCTATCTATCTTAGAGTCTGTTCATTTAAATCTATTCCCTATCTTTCTGTTCATTTTATCTATCTATCTATCTATCTTAGAGTCTGTTCGTATTTATCTATCTATCTATCTATCTTAGAGTCTGTTCGTATTTATCTATCTATCTATCTATCTATCTATCTATATATATATATTTAGGTCTGTTGATTATCTATCTATGTATCTATCGAGATATGTATTTCTGTCTGTTGATTATCTATCTATCTATCTATCTATCTATCTATCTATCTTAGTCTGTTCGTATCTATCTATATATATATATATATATATATATATATATATATATATATATATTTAGGTCTGTTGATTATCTATCTATGTATCTATCGAGATATGTATTTCTGTCTGTTGATTATCTATCTATCTATCTATCTATCTATCTATATCTATCTATCTATCTATCTATCTATATATTAGTCTGTTCGTATATGTATGTATATATATATATATATATATATATATATATATATTTAGTCTGTTGATTATCTATCTATGTATCTATCGAGATATGTATTTCTGTCTGTTGATTATCTATCTATCTATCTATCTATCTATCTATCTATATATTAGTCTGTTCGTATCTATCTATGTATGTATATATATATATATATATATATATTTAGGTCTGTTGATTATCTATCTATGTATCTATCGAGATATGTATTTCTGTCTGTTGATTATCTATCTATCTATCTATCTATCTATTAGTCTGTTCATATCTATCTATCTTTATATATATATATATATATATTATATATATATATATATATATATATAATCTATCAGTCTGTTGATTATCTATCTATCTATCTATCTATCTATCTATCTATCTATCTATCTATTTTTCTTCGAGTATTCTCTGAAAATATTCTTTTCCAATATCCATTCTTCCGCTTATATTTACATGCAGAATGACTAAATGTTTGTTTGTGCGCCCGTGTCTCGGTATCGATTTAGGTTTAGTTTGTTCATCCTGTAAGCAATTACTAACGTCTTCCCAGTTCGACTATCAGTAGGTGATCCGCAATTGAGGCCTTGTGTCATACAAAGCCTTCCTAAATATAAATGTGTACACACCTGTGTTCACTCGTTTGTTCTCATTATTTTTTGTATCAAAAAATTCTTTCTCCACCTCTCTCACTCTCATCAACTTTATATGTCTCTATCGTTCTCTTTTTTCTTGTTTTTTTTCTCTCTTTTTATAGGACTCTCTCTCTCTCTCCCCTCATAAATCTCTTTACTTATCACTCTTTTTTCTTTTCCAACTTGAATCTTCCTGATCCCCGTTTTTTTTTTCTTATTTAAAAAACAAACAAACTTTCATCTATTTATCCGCCCATCTCTCTCTCTCTTTCATTCATACACCCATCTCGCTCGCCTTCTGTGTCCGGGTCTCTTTCTCTCACTCTCGTCTAACGGTCTCTCTCTTTTCTTCTGTCTTTTCTTCTCTCTCTCTCTCTCTCTCTGCCTGGATCTCTAACACCCTGTATTTCTTTCACTCTCTTATTGGTTCATTCTCAGTCTCTACCGCTCTTCCTTCCTAGTCTAACACACACACACACACACACACACACACACACACACACACACACACACACAGACAAACACACATACACACAGACAGACAGACCAATACCCCTCCATTTATCGCTTTGTCTATCTATCGCACATGCTGGTTTTATGTCTGGATCATTGTCTGTCTCCTTTATCAGCACGACCACACACACACACACACACACACACACACACACACACACACACACACATACATACACACACACACACACACACACACACACTCTCTCTCTTTCTAGCTCCCTTGTTTATGACACAAACTCTCTCTCTTTCTCCTCTCTGAGTATTCCCCTCATCCTGGCACTTTCTATGACTTTTTTTCTCCTCTTTCTTTCTCTTGACTTCCTTCTCAACCCCCCCCCCCTGGATACACGCACATACTCTCTCTGTGTCTAGACCTTTATCCTTCTCTCTCTCTCTAGCTATCTCGTCTGTCACACATGTTTGTTTGTGTTTTTTTCACCCCTTTACACACACACACACACACACACACACACACACACACACACACACACTCATTCACATATAATATAGCCCTCTCTGTTTGTCTCTCTGTCTTACTCGCTCTTTCTTTCTCTCCGTGAGCGTTTCTCTCTCACTAAGTTAAAGAACGCGCTATCTCTCTTTCTCTCTCCCTCTCTCTCTCTGAGTATATTCTATTCCCTTTAATATTTATTCTCTCTCTCTCGCCTTCTTTCTCTTGCTGTTTAACATACCTTCTTCTCTACTCGCCTATTTCATATATACATACACACTCTCTATCTATCTAGACCTTTCTCTCTCACACTCTTTATTTCTCTTTCTTTCTCTCTGTCTCTATCTCTCAGTCTCTTTCTCTCTCTCGGTCTCACTCTCTTTCTCTCTCTTTCCCTCTCTCTGGATCTTTTTCTCATTCTCCCTCGTTGAGCCACAAGGTATAAGAAATTTTGGAGAGACATGATCGCCCATGTCCTGAAGGGACGCGGCATATACAAGAAGAAGCAGTGTGAGCCCCTCTCTTCTTCCTTCTCGCTCTGCCTCGTTTGTCACGTGTGCAAACACACGGGGACACACACGACACACACACACACACACACACACACACACACACACACACACACACACACACACACACACACACACACACACACACACACGCACACACAATTTTTTTTTCTATCATTTTTTCTTTTGCTTCCTTTCGTGTTTCTCGCGTTCTCTCTTCTTGTTCTACTCCCGGTCTCTCCTTTTCTCTCTTTGTCTCTATCACTTTTTTCTACTCTCTCTTTCTTTCTAAGCTTTTCTCTCTCTCTCCCAGTTGCATTTCTTTCTCTATTTTTTTTATTTCTGTCTTTCTTTCTCTCTGATGTTTTCTTGTTTACTCCTCTTCTCACCTTGTTTCTTTACGTCATTTCCTTAACCTTTTACATCGCTTTTACTCTCTCTCACTCTCTCTTTATTCCCCTCTCTTTCTCTGAGTATTTTTCTCAGCTACTCTTTCTCCCTCTCTCTTTCACTCCTCTCTTTCTCTGTAGATTTTTTCTCCGCTCCATGGCACCGTTTCTCTCTTGTACCCCTTTCTTTCCCACTTCTCTTTCTGCCACTCATTTTATCCTCTCTTTCTCCCTTTCTGTTTCTCTGGACATTATTTTTCTGCTACTTGCCTCTCTTTCACTTCTCCTCTCATTCCCTCTCTCTCTCTCTCTTTCTATCCCTCCCCTCTCCCCTTTCTTTACCGCCCTCTGATTCTATAGATATTATTTCTCAGCTCCTCGTCTCTCTCTCACTTCCCCTCTTTTCCCACCCTCTTTTTCTCTCCCTTTCTTTTCCCCTCTCTCTTTATCGCTCTCTATTTCTATGGGCATTATTTCTCAGCTCCTCGTCTCTCTTTCATTTCCCCCTCTCTTTCCCTCCTTCACTTTCTTTCCCTTTCTTCTCCCACTCTCTTTACCGCCCTCTCATTCTATGGACATTATTTCTCTGCTCCTCGTCTCTTTTTCACTTCCCTCCTCTCTGACCCTCCCCCTCTTTCCCCTCTCTTGATCGACTTCTCTTTCTATGCTCCTCGTTACACTTTCACTTCTTCCTTCTCTTTCCCGCCCTCTCTTTCTCCCACTTTCCTTTTCCCCTCCCTCTCTTTATCGCCCTCTCTTTATATGGGCATTATTTCTCTGCTTCTTGTCTCTCTCTCTCTCTCTCTCTCTCTCTCTCTCTCTTAGGACTCGTCTCTTTCGCACTCCTTCTAATTGAAAACTAATCGACACACACATTCAGGTGCATAGGGACGAACAACGAAAATGTTGCGCTTTTTTTAAAATAGACCCCTCCGCACGCACGCATGCGCACTGGACTCCTGTTAGTTAGCATTCTGAAACAGAAAATACCTGATTTGCATGTCGAAATTGTACACACGCGGCTGCAACGAAACACGCTCACCCATTCATTTGGCGAGTTCGCTCTCTCTTTTCGCGCGTTCTTTCCCACCCTGTATATTTCGCCCAGTAGATGCGGTCAACACATTCGCGCACCAATCACATAACGAAGCGGACGTTTCTTAAGCAAGACCTGAAGAACTGTTATCATGAAAGTAAACGGGGAAAATAAACAGTATGTATGAAGACATTTACTCTTCAGTGAAAGAAAGAAAAAGCGTTTACAACGCGTAGAACGAAACAAAACAAAGAAAGGAAACATTTTTAATCAATAGTTCGAACGGAGGGGAGATATTATTTTAGCTAATATTTCCGTAGAATGTGGTGTTCTCTACACGATTGCATATACATACAATAGCGGGTGCACAGTCATATGCAATATTAGTGACAGGATCACTATAAAATATGCTATTGTTATAAACGTATTCTGGTTACGATCTAGTACGCTGTACTGTACAAAAAAAAAAAAAAACAAAAACAAAAAAACAGAAAAAAAAGACACAAACGAATATATATATATATTCCGGAACTTAAACACATATTTGAATATATAAAATTGCAATATTAAAATGCTTTATTTTACTATTTAATTAATTTCAAAGTTTCATTATTACGCCTAGAACGTATGAAATTATAAAAGTGAACATTGAAGTCAACACCCAGAGGCGAGAGACTGCTAAACGTAATCGTCAGGCCATATCTATCTATCTATCTATCTATCTATCTATCTATCTATGTTAGAAAAATATTAAAGTGTGTTTATTCGTACAGTGTTTTCTAAATGAAAACAAATAAAGTAGTTTTTAAATTTAACTTTTATTTAAAAAAACAAAAATACCTTTTCTTTTATGAAACGGTGAACATTGCGTTTTACTGTAAAAATTGACAGGATACACATCTGCACACACACGTACATACACAAATATAGACACACATACATACACATGCGTATACACATTTATGCCGACACGCACGCACCCATCTCGCATATTGAAAGTTGAAATCGGAGACAATTATTCGAGATCGAATTAACTGAAAATATATATTTTTTTTGTTTTGCTTCACTCGGAAATGAATTTAATGGAAAGGTTGGGCTCTTGCTAACCTAAGGAAACTTCACTTTTCCTTTGTTAAAATAAAAGAAGGGGAAAAAATTGTAAAAGGATCGAGAGAAAAAAGTGACTGACGATTTTTATTTTTTGAAGAAATCGTTGACGATATTCTGGGGATTCAATTTCTTGTATATTTGCTAATGTCGAGCTAAAAGGGAGGGGAAAAACAAAAGAAAAGAAATCTCCCTGAAAAATGTTTAAAAGTGAAACAAACCATTGAACAAAATGATTTTTGTATTTGTGCTGCTGATTGTTAAAAACATTTGAAAAGGAAAATTTTCCTATAATGGAATTCGAAAAGTGTCAAATGATTTACAAGTAAGTGCATTTATTTTATTTTTCTTATGTACCACAAAAACATTCGATATATATTCGATATATATATATATATTCGATATATATATATATATATATATATATATATATATATATATATATATATATATATATATATATATATATATATATATATATATATATATATATATATATATATATATATATATATACACACACACACACATATATATATATTCGATAATTATTATTATATATATATATATATATGTGTGTGTGTGTGTGTGTGTGTGTGTGTGTGCAAATATATGAAAAAATAGGAAAGAACACGTTAGGTAAATAATGTGAAGTTCTTAAGTATTTTTGTTTTTTATTTTAAAAAAAAAACACTCAATACAAAAGTAGAACCTAAATTATAATTATTTTTTAAAAATATGATTCCTTAGTTACATAAGAGTTCTTAAGTGTCAAAAACATGAGAACTCTTATGTAGCGAAGGAATCATATTTTAAAAATAATATATATATATATATATATATATATATATATATATATATATATATATATATGATAGTTTTACTGTTATATTTGCAATCGGTTTTACATTGCTCTAGAAGCGTATAAAATAATTTTAACATGTTTCGGCGATGATCCGCCGTCATCAGAAAACAGAATA